CTCCGAGTGCCTTGCCCAGATCTGAGCAGGAGATGCTGGCTGGGCCACCGGCGCCAGATCCTGGGCGCCTCATCACGGACCCGAGCAGCGGTCGCACCTACTTCAAAGGCCGGTTGTTGGGCAAGGTGGGCCAGGGGCTGTCTGGGGAGTGGTGCTAACGCGGGCGGACAGAAACCCTGCCAGGCAGGGCGGGTGCTCTTGACCCCGACGTGGGAACGTATGCGGACCAGACCCGGCCTCCCCTCCCCTGGAGCGCCTGGCCTGATACCCACCTCCTCCTAGGGGGGCTTCGCCCGCTGTTACGAGGCCACTGACACAGAGACCCGCAGCGCCTATGCGGTCAAAGTCATCCCGCAGAGCCGCGTCGCCAAGCCGCATCAACGCGAGAAGGTGGGTCCAGGCCCGGCGGGCGAGGGGTGAAGTGGGGTCGATGGGGTGGGAACCCCGGAAGGATGATGACCCCGCACCCCCATGGCAGATCCTAAATGAGATTGAGCTGCACCGAGACCTGCAGCACCGCCATATCGTTCGTTTTTCTCACCACTTCGAGGATGCTGACAACATATACATTTTCCTGGAGCTCTGCAGCAGAAAGGTAAGGGATGGGGATTTCAGCGGAGACTGGGGCCGGGTGGGGTGCGTCTTAAGACCCAGTGCTAGGGCCTTGCCTTCCTCGTGGAGCATGCAGAGAGGGAGGCTCAGGGAGGGCGAACAGGGGCTGAGTCAGTGGCTCTCTGCAGTCCCTAGCCCACATCTGGAAGGCGCGGCACACCCTGTTGGAACCAGAGGTGCGCTACTACCTGCGGCAGATCCTTTCTGGCCTCAAGTACTTGCACCAGCGGGGCATCTTGCACCGGGACCTCAAGCTAGGTGAGACTCTTTGGTGAGCCAGCAGGGTTGGGGGACTGGGGATAGAAGGAGGAAGAAATCTGACATACCTCTCTGTCCCCTCCAGGAAATTTTTTCATCACAGATAACATGGAATTGAAGGTGGGGGATTTTGGGCTGGCAGCTCGCTTAGAGCCCCCAGAGCAGAGGAAGAAGTGAGTGTTTGAGGGGTGGCTACAATCTGTGTATGACACAAGTGATGTGTGACAGATAGTGAGTATGTATGTGGGAAGCAAAGTGACCGCCTGATGTGTCCATGTGATGAATAGGGAAGGGGTAATGGGCTGTTTGTGTATATGTGAAGGTGGAGGTGGCAGCCTCACTTGCTGGGATTGGTGGGGAGGATGAGAGTCCTACTGTGTGACACAGATGGGATAGGTGACTCAGTCCCAGAGACAGATTCGGGTGTAATGATTCTTGAAGGTATATGACTGACCCTGGAAGGGGAATGTGACATAGGCCAGGCAGTGTGTATGTGAGACAGTGTGGGAATGGCAGGACATGACCCTCTGTGTGTGTATGTAAAAAGACCCTGCCATGGCTACTGTGACTGAGTGTGCATGACACAGATAGCATGGGTAGCAGATGAATGTTTATGGGGGATGTGACAGCTGGTGTTGGTGTGTATGCAGCACAGACCATGGGAGGTGACAGCCTGATGGGTGTTTGACAGACGGGAGTGGGGGGAGGGATCAGTGATCGACCCTCTGTGTTGACCCTGGAGGAGGGGGCTGGGTTGGGGGGTCATGGCCTCCCCCTGCGCTGCAGTACTGTTGAGCAGCTGGGGCAGGCGGGTAGGCGGGGACTCAGCTGCCATCTCTGGCATCCATTGTCCCAGGACAAGCAAGAGCTCTCTGGCCTTTGGTGACAAGCAGCTGCTTTGTCTAGACTCACAGTGGGGGCAGGGATGGGGGTACTGCTGGGCTGGGTCTGAGTTGTCCCTCTTTTCTCTACCCTCTTTCAGAACCATCTGTGGCACCCCCAACTATGTGGCTCCAGAAGTGCTACTGAGACAGGGCCATGGCCCTGAGGCGGATGTGTGGTCACTGGGTTGTGTCATGTGAGTGTCAGTCAGTGGCTGACAGGTAGTGGGTACGTGGGCCGGGCATTTCAACCACTTTACTCCTGACCCCCTTATCCCTGCCCCACAGGTACACACTGCTCTGTGGGACTCCCCCCTTTGAGACCGCTGACCTGAAAGAAACGTACCGCTGCATCAAGCAGGTTCACTACACGCTGCCTGCCAGCCTCTCATTGTCTGCCCGGCAGCTCCTGGCCGCCGTCCTTCGAGCCTCACCCCGAGACCGTCCCTCTATTGACCAAATCTTGCGCCATGACTTCTTTACCAAGGTCTGTGACTCTCCAGACACCTGAGTTCAGTCTGCATATTCCCAGGGGATTAAATGGGGGCAATTGAGAGGACCTCTAGGGCCTCTCTTCTATGTTGACATGGCTTCTCTCCACAGGGCTACACCCCTGACCGGCTTCCTGTCAGCAGTTGCATAACAGTCCCGGACTTGACACCCCCTAACCCAGCAAGGAGTCTGTTTGCCAAAGTTACCAAGAGCCTGTTTGGAAGGAAGAAGAAGAGTAAGTCTAGGGTGTCAGGGTGTTAAGTGACAGAGACACTTGTGATATTCATTTTGGGGGCATGGAGGTATGGGTGCAGCTGAGTGTGGTGGCTCATGCCTGTAATTCCAGCGACTCAGGAGGCTGAAACAGGAGGATCACAAGTTTGAGGCCAGTCTCAGCAACTTAGTGGACCCTGTATATCAAAATCAAAAATAAAAAGGGCTGGGGATGTAGTTTAGTGGTAAAGCACCCATGGGTTCAATTCCCAGTACCAAAAGAAAGAAAGAGAGTGTGGATGCCTGCGAACTCCTGAGGAGAATGTGTGTTGTCCAGGTACTTGGGAAGGCCTATCATTGTGTCATCCCTGTGGATAATGGGATTGGGCAGAACACTGAAGACTATCCCCCCTACCTCCAGATAAAAACCATCCTGAGGAGCAGGATGAGGTCTCCTGTTTGGTGAGCGGCCTCATGCGCACGTCTATTGGCCATCCAGATGCCAGGCCCGAGGTGAGGTGCTCACGTGGGCATTGTTCCCCTGACTCACTCCACCTAGCAGCTGAGGGAAGCCCGGGATAAAAGGCTGATGAAGCATCCAGCCTCGTGGTGGCCTAATTGGCTGTGTCTCATTAGCAGGCTGGGGCTGACCCAGGGTGCCCTCGAAACCAGGGCAGGGCTAGGCCATGGACTTTCAAGGATTTCGATTTCAGAGCCTATCTCACTCCCTGTCCCTACCCAACTCTCTAGGCTCCAGCAACTTCTGGTCCAGCCCCTGTCAGCCTGGTAGAGACAGCTGCTGAAGACAGCTCACCCCGTGGGACGCTGGCGAGCAGTGGAGATGGTGAGGAACCAAGGAGTGTGAGACTTGCTAAAACTTGCTGAGGCAGAGACCAGGAACCAGAGGGAAGGAGTTGACAGAGGGACATGACCTGAGTCTAGGGAGGGCTAATGCCTAAATCTCAGTGCTCTGTTCCTTTCAGGGTTTGAAGAAGGTCTAACTGTGGCCACTGTGGTAGAGTCGGCCCTCTGTGCTCTGAGAAACTGTGTGGCCTTCATGCCCCCAGGTGAGGCTGGGGTCTGGTATGTGTTAATATTGTTGGGAGTTCTTTGGCTAGGAGGCTAGGAAGAAGCAGGTCCTTATTTCCTTTTTTCCCTTGACAGCCGAACAGAACCCAGCCCCTCTGGCACAGCCAGAGCCTCTGGTGTGGGTCAGCAAGTGGGTTGACTACTCCAACAAATTTGGCTTTGGGTATCAACTGTCCAGCCGCCGGGTAGCAGTGCTTTTCAATGATGGCACACACATGGCCTTGTCAGCCAACAGGAAGTAAGTGCTGTTCTGGGGTGTCTTGTATCCAGGGTGTTGGGCTCATCAGGGCTGCACCTTGGCATGTGTTCCTAGGCTCAGGGGCCTAGGGTTTCTCAGCAGAAGGGTGTTGGTGCAGGGCTCCCTCTGACCTTGGCCTCCCCCTACTTCCAGGACTGTGCACTACAACCCCACCAGCACAAAGCACTTCTCTTTCTCTGTGGGTGCTGTACCTCGAGCTCTGCAGCCTCAGCTGGGCATCCTACGATACTTTGCCTCCTACATGGAGCAGCACCTCATGAAGGTATGTGGGTAAGGGTTGAGCATACTGAAGATTTACACATCCTCATAAGTTCCCCTTTGGTAATGGGAGGAGGGGCTCAAAGTTAAAGGCTGAACCTATAAGAAAGGGAGACATCGATGGAGACATCTGATTCATGTCAGACCAGTGACCTGCCCTGCTCCTGCTCTCAGGGTGGAGATCTGCCCAGTGTGGAAGAGGTGGAGGTGCCTGGCCCACCCTTGCTGCTGCAGTGGGTCAAGACTGATCAGGCCCTCCTCATGCTATTTAGTGATGGCACTGTCCAGGTAAGAGCCCACCCTGGAGTTGGAGGGAAGGTCTGGGAGGCCTAGGATGTTGGGAAGAAAATTGGGCCTGGAGCCTTGGCCCTGGCCCTGATCAATATCCTTCTCCTTGTATACAGGTGAACTTCTATGGGGACCACACCAAGCTGATCCTCAGTGGCTGGGAGCCCCTCCTTGTGACTTTTGTGGCCCGAAATCGCAGTGCTTGTACTTACCTCGCTTCCCACCTCCGGCAGCTGGGCTGCTCCCCGGACCTGAAGCAGCGACTCCGATATGCTCTGCGGCTGCTCAGGGATCGTAGTCCAGCCTAGGCCCCACCATGCAGAGCAGGCCATGACCAAGCCCTCAAACCTGAGGCCTGTGCCTGTAAGGCTCTGGCCCTTGCCTTTGTGGCCCTCTCTGTTCCATTGGTGCCTCACTGGGGGCTCTGGGCTGAATCCCCCAGGGAATCAGGGACCAGCTTTACTAGAGTTGGGGTGGCTTGTCCTTACTATTTCTTACCCCCTCTCTGAGATAAGCCTGAGCCTTAGCCCCAAATTAGGGGCATTATTTATGGACCACTTTTATTTATTGACAGACATTTATTTATTGGGATGTGAGCCCCAGGGGGCCCTCCTTCTGGGATAATAAACCTTTTGCAGAACTCGGCCTGCTTATTCGTAGTAGAGCCCGTGGACAGTGGCCACCGCAAAAAGTGAAGCGTTGGTGAAGGTAGCAGAAGCCAGTCCGTCGCGTGCTACATCCCAAAGCGCGCGACTGACCACATGTACGCCCTGGCCGGTGCGCGGCCCCAGCACCACGTTGCACACAAGCTTATAGCGCGGTGGGCTGAACTCACGCAGGTGCGCACGCATCTGTTCACACAGCTCTCGAGTCAGCCTCCCAGCCTCCGAACCAGAGTAGGAAGCATCCCGCAACCTGGCATCCAAGGCTGCCTCCAGAGCACGCTGAGCACGGGCAGCCTCCCAGCATTCTCCAGGCGCAGGCTCCATGCGGTACGAAGGTGCTACCTGACGGACTGGCGCCAGGGGCAACCCTGAGAAGCTGACCCGAGAACCTAGAGGGGGCGCTGGGACCAGGGATTGTCGCCGACCTCCAGGACCAGTGACTGGCCCAGCCAGTGAGTTGCGACGTGAGAAGGATGTGGCTGGACCCAGCACAGAGCCACGGCGGGAGGCTGGGCCCACAGCTGCAGGTCCAGCCTCATCAATGCTGGGCAGGCGACCACGGGGCCGTACTGGTGGTAGTTTAGGCCCCAAATCTTTGGCAGTCTCTTCCTGGTGTCCCTCCTGGCGTCCTGGGGGCAGAGGCCTGCCAGCCATGGGCCTGCTAGTTGAAAGACACACATTTAGGATGGGCTTCAGTGGCCATCTTTCTGCGTCTCCTGTTGCTGAGTGATGTGAAGGGTTTTTATACCCCTACTCTCTTCTTATTTACCACCTGCCACCACACACACACCGGCTGACTTTTCCCTTTTTTTTTTTTGAAGTGGTGTCACACTATGTAGCTCAGGCTGATCCTGAACCTCTGGGCTCAAATGATTCTCCCACTTCAGCCTCCCAAGTAGCTGGGTCTAGGTGGCACAGCACTGTGTCTAACTTCCCCTTACCCACTTCTTACCTGTGTTTTTGGAACAAGTGGATCAAACAGTCAAGCTGGGTGAGTTTCTAAGTGCTTAGAGAGTTAAGGGCTGTTAGGGACATAAAGAGGGGAAAAGACGCTACTCAGTCTATAATCCTGAGCTAGTCTTTGCCATCCTGGTTTCCACTTTGCCTTGGGCACTATGTAGGTTGGCTAAGTGAGATCTATTATATTTACTTTTCTCCCTTCCACTTGACTTCACTAGCATAAGGGGGAGATGAAGCTGGCTTCTGACTCAGCCTGGAGAGTAGAAGTGGTGCCTGCAACCCTTAACCAGAAAGGATGGACAGAACCAACTCCTTCATTTCCACAGATCCCACTAACCCTGGGGATATTGAATCCAGTCACCTTCTGCCATTCCTGCTCTGATAGGGCACAGAAGACTCACTCAGCCACTACAACAGGCTGAGGCTCGGGGCAGGTGACCCACTGAAACTCTTCTTCTTTTTGCTTTTGTCCTGTGACTGCACCTCCTACAGAACCACTTCTGGGATGGTTGCCCTCCTCTCCTGAAACTCCCTCAGGCACCTGACTCACCTGCAGCTTTGGTCTCCAAGCTCTCTCTGCTCCACAGCCCTGGCCCAGCTAGCCTGACTTGCAGGTGGGAGGAGGAAGGGCCATGTTTTGCAGTTGCCATGGGCTGCTAGGGCAAGCACTCCTTCCTCCCAGAGTCCCTCCCTTCCTCCAACTTGGCTCTGGAATAACCTAAGAGTGTTACTACTATGAGCACCTGCTGAGGATGGGGTACCCCTGAGTTATTGGGGAGAAAGGCCTATAAGGTCTTGAGCTCAGGGACATACTACCACCACCAGACAACCGATAGTTAGGGGCTCTGCTTAGAAAGCCCCAGGACTCTTGAGCCATTCTCCATTTCTTCCTTTGTGAAATGGCCAGATGACTGGCCATTTATGAACCAATCACAGGGCCTAGGGTATGTGTGGGAGGACATTGGGGCTGCAGGGGTGGCTGCTCAGGAATCCAGGATCCAGGCAGACAGGAAGGAGCACGTCATTGCTCTATCGTCTCCCCATCAGTCTCAACCAGGACAAACATTTCCGCTCCAGGCGCTGAGCTGGGGTGGGGCTTGGATGACTTCCTCAGTTCTGGGCTTTGTGTGGGGGTGGGGAGGCCCATTGGCTCAGATGGAAGGACCAAGTCCTGAAAGCTATGACTCAGTGGTAAACCTGAGTCCAGTCTCTTGACCCTTACTGACCCAAGTGCCCTGGGGCTTGTCCCCAGTTGGCCACACCTCTGTGTGCCCCAGTACCTAGATTACCCAGCTGCATTTCAAGGATGCCAGAGGCGGCCATGCTTCTGTCAGAGCAGACAATTCACTTTACCCTGGAAGGGATGGGACTACCCCCTCTCCAGCAAACTATGTCTGGGCCCAGAAAATCATCCATGGAATGAGGATTTTCCCTGTGGAGGTGAGGTTTCCCAGGCCTGCCTAACCTGAGTTTAACCTATGACTGGGGGAGAGCAGGAGCTTGAATTCTGAAATTGTGGCAGGTCAGGACCAGAGTTAAGGCTCTCAAGACTGTGTTTAGGGCCCTTCCACAGGCTAAAGTTTTCCACCAGGCCTGTGGGGAGATGGGCGGAGCCTCCTTTTAGGCTGGGCTCCAGTTTCCATGGAAACCCACAGGCTTCCCACCCCAACGCCGCCTGGGCAAGCTCCCAGCCCAGGCCTCATCCCACACCAGCTTCTCCCCTGGACTACTGGCGCTCCGGCCTCAGCCTCTCCAGGTCCCCTACCTCTACCCCCACCATATCTATCCCTATTCCTGAGCCTCTCTTCATCCCTAAACTTTAGTTTCTCAGTAAACAGGCTTCCTGAGCTCCTGCCTCTCTCAGGCCTTTCTAATCTCCTCACCAGCTCTAAGGCCTGGCAGGCCTCCCACAGACCAACAAACAGCAGCAGACCTCCTAAACCACTCCACTTTCTTTTTCTCCCTGCCCCACTCCATGCATGGAGAATCCAGGACTAGTTGTGCATGGGCAGACTTCTTCCTTTTCCACAGCACTTCGAAGTCTTGTCAACAACCCCCAATACAGGTGAGGAAGGGGGCCCGGTTGGTAAGTTTTCCCTAGCTGATTTTGCTTAGCCCCATGACTCTGGGGAGGCCCTGGGTGAAGAGGTGAAAAGGACTTTGCCTTCCTCCCTGGCAAACTGAGTCGGTGGGGAAGCCAACTGTAGATGATGGCTACCAGCTTCTCAGTGTCCATGATATCTTGAGAGCCAGGGTGGGGGGCTGTGGGGGATAGAGCCCTGGGCTGCGGTGTGAGCTCAAGCAAAATCCTTCTGTGAATCTTGAGCTCCTCTCAGAGGGGAAAAGAGCCTGAAAAATGCGATGTAACTTGACTCCCTCCCATTGAGCACTTAGATGTTGGGGCCTCTCTCCTTGAAGAGGCAGGAGCCTGTTCTGAGAATTGGGAATTCAAAAGAGGAAGAAAGCTCAAGGGATTGAGCCAGAGTTCCAGACAGGAAGTAGTTCAAGGGTGCTGACCACTGTTTGCCCAAAATGCTAATGGTGTTTGAAAATAGGGATAGAGTTTACTTGGGGCAGGGTTGGTCAGGAGAGCTAAAATGTAGCTCTCCCCCAGCCCCAGTATCTCAAATCTGGATTCTTCCCCAGGGTTGGTAGTTCCAATAACCCTGCTTCTCTGGGGGTTGCAGTCTGGTCTGAGTAGTAGGAACCTCACGACTTGGACTATGAAACTAGAAGGCTCTAAGAAACTCACATATTTTCTTTTGTCTTCTACCATCTACCTTGTTCAGGGGCCCAGAAACTGGGGCCGGAAGTGATCATGAAGATGGAAAATGTGGTCTGGCCTCATTATGGTGCATGACTGCCATGTCTGTTTACAGTTAATGCACATTCTGCACCCTACACCCCCACTCCCTCCTCCCTGGAGGAGGGCTGAAAAACAGCTGAGTTTGCAGCCAGTGGAGGAGGTACCAAGAAGAACTTTCCCTCCCCAAAGACTCAGACTGGGGAGGGGCTGGGGAGTTGGGATCAATCTTACTTTTATTAACCCTGTTGCCCCCTCGCAATCAAGAACAGTCACCTCCTCTGAGGTCAGGGGTGAGAAACTTAAGATTCAAAGATAGGAAATTGCCAGGCACAGTGGCATATGCACATAATACCAGTGGCTCAGGAGGCTGAGGCTAGTTCAAAGCTAGCCTCAGAACTTAGTGAGACCCTTCTCCAAAAATAATAGCAACAACAACAAGAATGGGCTGGGGATATGACCCAGTGTGTGGGGAGAGAAGTCACTTGCCTGCAATACCATGGATGGAGCTGGGATTGGAACTCACATCTGTGTATACCAGACCTTTTCCTGGAAGGCTAAACCCTGTCTTATGTTGCAGATAAGGAAACGAAGGTTCAGAGTGGGCAAAAGTGAAGCCCATATTGTACTCTAGGCTCTGGACTCCTTTCCTCTGGCTCTCTGCCCCTCTCTTCCACAGTGATGTTTGCTTTGTGGTCGGTCAAGAACAGCAGGAGGTATTTGCCCACCGGTGCCTGTTGGCCTGTAGATGCAACTTCTTCCAGCGACTGCTGGGCACAGAGCTGGGCCCCGGGGTGCCTAGTCCTGTGGTGCTAAGCACTGTGCCAGCTGAGGCCTTCTTGGCAGTGCTGGAGTTCCTGTATACCAACAGTGTCAAGCTGCACCGCCACTCTGTGAGCCCACTGACCAGGGGCCTGGGTGGGAGTGGCTGGGGGTACAAGAGGCAGGAGTCTGCCCATCACACTGTGGGCCAAGAGGCAAGAGAAACTCTCTTCTGGTCCCCCAACCACCCACTTTGTAGGTGCTGGAGGTGTTGACGGCAGCTGTGGAGTATGGGCTAGAAGAACTGCGAGAGGTAGGTTTTTGTGCCAGGTCCTGGTTGGTTTCCCTTGCCTCTCATGGACCCAGTTCATACCCTACTTTTCATACTCTGACCTGGAGGGCAATGTGTATACACATATAAGTACAGGAATCTCTGTATACACAGGGCATGCATGTGAGTCTGTATGCACAGAATCCTCACATGCCCCGAGTAGGCTAATTGAACATCAGGTGTTGATGAGTGAAGGATAAATCAGCCTTGATCCCTATCTCTAGAGGAAACACTTAACCCTGTGGCACGAGTGTGATATATAGGGTAAATAGTACTGAGGCTATGTGGGGAAAGAATTCCTGGAGGAGGAAACATTTGTGATTTGGCAGAATGAACAGTTTTTTTCACAGGGGGAATGGGAAGATGTCATCCCAGTTACAGAGGTACTAAAGGAGATAGTGAGACATTTGGTGTGGTTGGATAGGATGTGAGAACAGAAGGGGGCAAGATATGACTGGAGAGAGTGCCAGGAGCTGGTTCATTCAGGGTCTTCAAGAATTTAGACTTCTGGGCTGGGGATGTGGCTCAAGCAGTAGCGTGCTCGCCTGGCATGCCTGCGGCCCGGGTTGGATCCTCAGCACCACATACAAAGATGTTGTGTCTGCTGAGAACTAAAAAAAAAAAAAAAAAAAAAAGAATTTAGACTTCTGTTTGGGTGTCGTGGCTCATGCCTATATTCCAGTGACTCAGGAGGCTGAGACAGGATTGCAAGTTCAAAGCCAGCCTCTGCAACTTAGTGAGGTTCAAAGCAACTTAGTTAGACCCTGTCTCAAAATAAAATATAAAAAGGGCTGGGGACGTGGTTCCATGGTTAAGTGCCCCTGGGTTCAATTCCTGGTTCCAAAGAAAGTAAAGAACTGACTTCTGGATTGGGCATGCTGGTACACACCTATGATCCCATTGACTCAGGAGGCTAAAGTAGGAGGGTTGCAAGTCAAAGCCAAATTAGTGAATCCTGTCTCAAAATAAAAAATAAAAAGAGTTGGGGATGTAGCTCAGAGATAGAGCACCCCAGTGTTTAATCCTCAGTACTGCAAGAAAAAAAGGGCATAGGGAGGGGAATTTAGATTATGGATTGGGAGTATTGGTCAGTGGTATAGTGCTTGCTTAGCCTGGTGAGGCCCTGTGTTCAATCCCTGGCCCACATGCGGGAGCGCGCGCACACACACACACAACAAAAGAAAAAGAATTGTGATTTTTTTCAACCTGAGTACAGTGGAGATTTACTGAAGGTTTCAGGCAAGGGAATGGGATTTGGAAGCTAAGGGGAGAAGGGAGTGGAAGAAATAGAAAGGGCTCATCAGACCAGTCAGGACTCTAGTGCAGCAGTCAAGTCAAGTGGATATGGCTAGGATGGGGGTGGCAGAAACCCAAAAGAGAAGTGGGTGGTTTTCAGAGATGAAGTGGAACTGGCATGACCCAGTGCTTTTCTGGGTGTGACAATGAGAGATGTTAAGGACGGAATTCAAGTTTCTGATAAAAATAGAAATGTTCTCAAGTCAGGAAAGGAACAAGTGGAAGAAAATAGCATCCTGAGAAGAGAGTGGAATTTTTGCATGGGTCTTATCTGATCTGATTAGTGGCAAGTGTGCTGGAAGGTGGTTTTCTGGGCTTGGCTTTGCTAATTTCCAGTTTCTTTGGGCTTGCCAAATCTCAGGCCCTGGCAATTCCTGGCTTCCCCAGGCCTGGATGAGTCTGAGGCTAATCGGAGTCTGGATGGCTAACCCTCAAGCCTGCCCACTACTTTATTAGGTCTGGGCCTTGGAGTAGAGATATCTCCACACAACTCAGATTTATTTCTGTTTCCAGCTGTGTCTGGAGTTTGTGGTGAAGGTGCTGGACGTGGAATTGGTTTGTGAGGCTCTGCAGGTGGGTGTTGCTGGATGGACCTAGGAGTAAGTCTGGCTTTCAGTATGTGGTACTGGGCTCCTAGGTACCAGGAGTCTAGACCTCCTGTGTCTGTCCTGGAATAACCTAGATACATGGAAGGGGGTAGGAATGTCCCAAGGATGTTTATGGGATAAATTATGTGCCTAGATAAGTGGGATCCAGGGTTCACTAGCAGGGTCAGGTGTAGGAGCAAGAGTTGAAGAACAGAAGATCTTTGCTGGTCTTCTATAAAAGCTGGGAAATGGTTCTCAGCTGAGGAAGGTGAAGGGTGGGGTTTGGAGAAGGGAAGCCAAGCCTAGGCCCCAGGATGGGATTTGAAGGAGATATCCTGACTTCTTTAGTGTGCACTGTGTGTGGATATGCAAACAGGGACTTTCACTGGTTCTAGTTTCCAGAGGCCTTGTCATCCTCCCCAACTGGAAGTAGAGTCAGGTTCCCAGTGATGGTTCCCAGGGTGGAGGGCAGGGCTACATGGTTTCTCCAATCTCTAACCTAACTTCCTCATTCTGCTCCCAGGTGGCCGTAACCTTTGGCCTGGGGCCGCTGCAGGAGCGGTGCATAGCTTTCATAGAGGCCCACAGTCAGGTATTACTCCCCATCTTCATATTCCTAACCCCACACACCCCATTCTGCTTTCCCCTGATCGGTTCCCCCGCCCGCAGGAGGCGCTCCGGACTCGTGGCTTCCTGGAGCTGTCGGCCGCTGCGCTGCTTCCCCTGCTGCGCAGCGACAAGCTCTGCGTGGACGAGGTCGAGCTGGTCCGGGCAGCCCGGAGCTGGGCGCGCGTGGGCGCGGTGAGAGGGAGATCTTGGGGAACTCCAGGGCGCTGAAGGCGGCACCGGCAGCAGGAACCCAGCGAGCCGGAGGTGGGGCGGGTGCTCCTGCCATGCCCGGTCTGTGCTGGCTTTCGCAGGCGGTGCTGGAGCGGCCTGTGGCCGAGGTGGCGGCCCCGGTAGTGCGAGAGCTGAGGTTGGCCTTGCTGGCCCCGGCGGAGCTGAGCGCCCTGGAAGAGCAGAACCGGCGGGAGCCGTTCATCCCGGTGAGGACGCGGGGAGCCAGGCTCAGATCAACTCCGCAACGTGGGGACCCGAAGCTAGGGGTGCGGCTCTGCCCAGTGTCTCCCTGGCGAAGAGGCACTGCATGGCTGCGCGGTGACCCGCCTTCCCCTGTAGGTGGAGCAGATTGTGGAGGCGTGGAAGTGTCATGCCCTGCGGAGAGGGGATGCCGCCCTGGGAGCACTGTGCCGCCGACGGAGGGGGACCCTGCCCCGGGAGCACCACCGCTTTCTGGACCTGCCCTTCAAGTAACTCAAGGCCGTGACTAGAGAGGAATTCCTGGCCTGCTCAAAACTGCAGCTCCCAACGTGCTCTGAGGTTGGAGCGGGCTTCCGCTCCCAGCATGCCGCGCCTTCCGGGAGCCGGAAGGCTTGTTCTCGGGTGCCGTGCCCTGTGCGAGACGACCGGCCTAGGGCGGGGCTGTGAGAAGAGTGCTGGTCCAGTGCCTTCTCGCGATGGCGAAATCCAAAAGTGAGGGTTTCTTTCACTCCACGGCGGGGCACTCTCGTGCGCAGGTGTACTCTGATTGCTCCCACGTGTCTATTAGGTCCAGCCTCCTCTTTAATAATAGCTCTTCCTCCTGGAGATCGTTCCTTGAGTGCCCCACAGACACCTCAGTGCACAATCGAGCTCTCCGTCTTTCCCCCAGCTCTGTCCCGGTTCTGTTTCTCATTTCCGTGAACGCCCACGCCGGAAACTTGGACGTCATCCTTGCCCCATCCCTCTCCCTCGCACTTGCCTCAGGTCTTTCTACTTCTTAAAAGATCTTTCCAGATGTTTCAGTCTTTAGCCTATCCTGCCTATCACGTCTTATAACCCTTCTTGTCTTCACCCCTCAATCGATTTCCCACACGCAGTCAGCCCTATCAGATTGTCAAGTCGACTTCCCTTAAGTCCCTCAACATCCCTAATACACTCGCTGGGCGTTCAAAATATTGTGGTTTCTGAGCATTTAGCAACTCTTCTTTCATCCCTGCTTTTGCAAAAATTCTCCCCTGGGAGGTACTCAGGATTTGCTCCCTTGTTGTTGAGGTTTCCACTTTTCACCTCTTTCATCTTACATCTTGTCTTCCTGTGGACCTGAATCTCCCTGAAGAAAGATCCCTGAGGCCTGGAGTAGTGCCTTATTCGTTTTTTTTCATCAGTCTCAGTCACATAATCAGTGTTTGGTAAATGCTAAGTGAATGACTTCATTTCCCTATTTATTCCATAAAGAGTCCTCCTAACTTCCAGCACTGGGGACTAAACCCTGGAGCGCTCTACCACTGAGCTACATTCTTAACTTTTTTTTTTGAGACAAGGTCTTGCTAATTTGCCTTGCTGGTCAGGAACTCCCCAACAGTCCTTCTAATTTTAGAGACTGCTCAGCAGCTGGGACAACAGATGTAGGCCTTCACACTGGGCAAAAAGTTTTAAAGAAGTTGTAAAACAAGATATCATCAATCTATGGGGCTGGGAATGTGGCTCAAGCGGTAACGTGCTCGCCTGGCCTGCGCGGGGCACTGGGTTCGATCCTCAGCACTACATAAAAATAAAATAAAGATGTTGTGTCCACCGAAAACTGAAAAATAAATATTAAAAAATTATCTCTCTCTCTCTCTCAAAAAAAAAAAAAAAAAAAGATATCATCAATCTAAAATGAGGGCAATTGACTATTTAGAAGAAAATATTTTAATATCTGTCTCAGGGACTTTATACAAAAATATATTGCATTGGGCTGGGGATGTGGCTCAAGTGGTAGCGCGCTTGCCTGGCATGCGTGCGGCCCGGGTTCGATCCTCAGCACCACATACAAACAAAGATGTTGTGTCCGCCGAAAACTAAAAAATAAATATTAAAAATTCTCCCTCTCTCTCTCTCTCTCTCTCTCTCTCTCTCTTAAAAAATAAAAGGGTACTTCCTGCGCTTTCAAACTTTAAAAAAAATATATTGCATGCCAATAAAAATAGTTATTTGTCACTCTCAAGATTGAAAAGGTTCGGGTTGTAGTGCACAAGCATGTAATCTCTGCAGCTGGGGAGGCTGAAGCAGGAGGATTGCAAGTTGAGGGCAACCTCAGCAACTTAGCCAGATCCTGTCAAAATAAAAAAAGACTAGGGATGTACATCAGTGGTAAAACACCCCAGGGTTCAATCCCTAGTACAAAAAAAAAAAAAAAATGTTCACCCAGTAATACTGCTTCAAGCAACATTGTTTCAGTAGTGGGGGGAAAAAAACCCAACACTTTATTTTGTGATACTGGGGATTGAGCCCAGGGCCTAACACATGCTAGGCAAGTGCTCTACCCCTGAGCTACATCACCAGCCCTTTTTGTTTTTTGAATTTTGAGACAGAGTCTCCCTAATTTCCCAGGTTAGCCTCAAACTTGTGATCAACCCTCCTGCTTCAGCCTTTTGAGCAACTAGACATGCACCACTGCACCTGGATGGAGAGTGAAAACTGAAAATTATATGTCCATTAATAGATATCTGGTTAAATTAACTATGGTATAGTCCTACAATGATACAAAAGATTTGCATGATCTTTACTGAAAAAAAAGCATAGTGTGACCAAGTAGAGTATTATGCCTTTTGTGATAGCTTGATGTGGTGGTACTTGCCTGTAATCCCAGCAATTTAGGAGGCTGAGGCTGGAGGATTTTGAGTTTGAGGGCAGTCTCAGCAACTTAGTATGGCCCTAAGCAATCTGGCCAAACACTTTGAGAGCCTGGGAAGATGTGGCTCAGTGGTTAAGCATCCTTGGGTTCAATCCCTGGTATAAAAAGAAAGAAAGAAAAGAGAAGTGTGGTGCTAGGCACGATGGCATATGCCTGTAATTCCAGCTGCTCAGAAGGCTGAAGGAGAATTGTGTCCAGTCTGGACAATTTAGTGAGAGACAATCTGTCTATACCATGTAGCTCCATGGTGGTGCTTCCCCAACCCCTGTTCGATCCTATATCCAGCAAAATAAAATATAAATAAATAAATAAATCTATTTGTTTCACATGTACTCACTAAGTGCACATGTTGGAGGTATTGATTTACCATATAGAGTGCATCAGAGAAAATCAAGTCTCTGCCTCATAGAGCTTCCATTCTAGGGGGAGAAACAAGGACATTTGCTACAATTTCAGGGAATATTGTTATCTCTAATTATCTCTTTAAGCAGGTTAAAGAGGTAGTGGTAGCTGAGCATACAGCTCAGTGGTAGAGTGCCTGCCATGTACAAGGCCCTGGGGTTCATCCACAGCACAGCAAGAAGAAAAGACAGTGATGGTGGTTGGAATGGGATTGTTTCATACAGAGTAGTGAGTGTAGATTTTGAAGCCTGCATAAACTCTCCACCTTTATTTGCTTTTAGTCATTTGATTATATCATCAATTTTAGAGTTCATGAAGCTAAGCGCTATTTCTATTAGCTTTGCTATGGGACATACTGGTTATGATGGTAATGGTTGCCTAAGTTGTTTTTCAGGAACTTGGCAGTAGCTTAAATTGGTTGAAATTAACTGACCCTTCACTTGGGCTTATACAAGTGTCTGACTTTTTGATGTCAGAGGGTCCAACACTTCACCCTCAGAGATGAGAATATTGCCATTCCCTGAACATACATTCTAGGAAGAACCATGAAGCTTGATTACACTTGCAGAGGCCACTAAGTCCTTCATTCTTCCTCAACTCCAATCAGCTTTTCCCATGTTTGAGAGCCTTTTGTTTCTGTATCCCCATAAATATCCCTAAATCCTGTTCAAGGGGAGGTAGATTTGAGAATTGGGGTTTCCACCTTCTCACAGTTGGCCACCTCATGAGTAAACTTTCTTCTTCGCCAAACTTGTCATGTACCACAAGATGAACAAAAGGGGCCTGGTTCAATAAGGACTTTTGCTGAGATGAGGGTAGACTGGAGATCTGAAGTAAGCCCTGGGGAAAGGCACTGAGGTGTCTGTGCAGGAGGGATTATGTGATCAGATTTACCTTTATTTATTTATTTATTTGGTGCCAGGGATTGAACTCTATTTATTCATTTTTAATTTTTTTTAATATTTATTTTTTAGTTTTAGGTGGACATAATATCTTTATTTTGTTTTTATGTGGTGCTAAGACTCGAACCCAGTACCTCACACATGCTAGGCAAGCGCGATACCACTTGAGCCACATCCCCACTTATTTATTTTTGAGATGGTGTTTCACTGTTTTGTACATGCTGGTCCTGAGCTTCTGGGTTCCAGTAATCCTCTTGCCTCACCCTCATCAGTAGGTGGGACTACAGTAGTGGGCCACAATACTTGGCTTGGATTTCGTTTTCTTTCTTTTCTCTTTTTTTTTTTTTTTTTTGTTACTGGGGATTGAACCCAGGGCCGTGTGTGCATATATATATATATATATATATATATATATATATATATATATATATATAGAGAGAGAGAGAGAGAGAGAGAGAGAGGTCTTGCTGAATTGCTTAGGGCCTCTAAGTTGCTGAGGTTGGCCTTGAACTTTTTTTTTTTTTTTTTTTTTTGTTGCTGGGGATTGAACCCAGGGCCTTGTGCATGTGAGGCAAGCACTTTACCAACTGAGCCAAATCTCCAGCCCCTGGCTTTGAAAACTTTTGATCTTCCTGCCTCAGCCTCCTTAGCTGCTGGGATTATAGGCATGTGCCACCACACCTAGCTCTCTCTCTATTTTTTAAGTTGTCTGCTGTGTAGGGGATTGGGTTGGAAAGGAAGGGTGGAAGAGAGATAGAGGAGAGTGGTCCAGGGAGAACAGCTAGGATTGAAGGAGCCCAGGGACTATGTTTTTTTAATTTCAGCAGTTTTTTTTTTCTTTTCTTTTTTTTTTTAAGAAAGGAATGATAGGGCAGTGGCTAGAGGGAGGATATGGGAATCAAGAGTTTTTCTTTTTTTTTTTTTTTAAGAGAGAGAGAGAATTTTAATATTTATTTTTTAGTTTTCGGCGGACACAATATTTTTGTTTGTATGTGGTGCTGAGGATCGAACCCGGGCCGCACGCATGCCAGGCAAGCGCGCTACCGCTTGAGCCACATCCCCAGCCCTTCAGCAGTTTTTAATAAAAGTTGTAAATAAGATTACTTTATTCTTGCATTTTCTCAATTGTTTCCTCCTTATATTTTCCCTTTTCCTTTCCTACTTGGCCTTCTGTTTTAGGATCTTTTTGTAGTCTTTGTCCAGTTTTAGCCTTGCTGGAGTGAATGCCTATGTGGACAGTTGTGCCATATCATCCTTTTCTCACTGTACATGTTCAATGTATATAGCATATTTCATTCTGAAAACTTGGACTACTTTGCCAATCTGCTTTTATTTACAGTGTCCTCATACAACCTGGACTTCATTATCCTTTCTGATGGGTGTAGATCAAACATTGTACTTCTGTCCCAGCTTCTTCCTGCTAATGTGTGAAGATGCATTGAAATGCCTTTTATGGTTCTTGCTTAGGTCAAAAGTCACAAAGAGATTGAACTTCATCTGGTCCCTGCTGCTTCAGTGATGGTGGCACAAGAGAAAATTTTGTTGAGTATTTTTTTTTTTTTTTTGGCCGGGGTGGGGGGTACTAGGGATTGAACTCAGCCACATCCCTGGCCCTATTTTGTATTTTATTTAGAGACAGGGTCTCACTGAGTTACTTATCGCCTCACCATTGGTGAGGTTGGCTTTGAACTTGCCATTCTCCTGCCTCAGCCTCCCAAGCTGCTGGAATTATAGGTGTGTGCCACCACACCTGGCTATTGTTGAGTATTTTGAACTAAAGACCCATGAAAGTCAACAGGTGCTGGAAGAGGCTTTACTCTGACAAATCCTTAGGGGCAATAAGACTTGACCCCCAAAACTGTGATGTAGCTCAGTGAAAGAGCACAGTCCTCAGAAAGGAATATGATATTTGCCTTCCATCCTTATCCTGAAATCTCATCTATCACAAATGACTGAGAAATGTAACTGTGCCTGGTCAGATTTTGGTACATGGTAACTTCTGTCCCTCTGGCTCAAATTCTAAAGAGAGATCTGGGGTTGTGGTAGAGTGGTTGGCTAACATGTACCAGGCTCTGGATTCCATTCCCAACACCACAAAAATAAACAAATAAAGAATCTAGAGAGAATAATTTTACAAGTTAATTTCTGTCTTCAGGTCTATTAATTCCCATAATAATCATTTGTCCCTCAAATTGTCACATTCTCCCCCCCCCCACCCCATGAAGAAAGGCTTATAAACATCTGGACTTCATTGGGTTATTTGAGCAATCACACTCCTGTGACCCACATTAATTATTAATGTGTGTTTTTATACATTTGCTATGTTTTCTCCTATTTAATTTATCAGTTAATTCCAGAGAACGTTCCTGGTTAGAAGGAAAGTCTTCTCTTGGGGGCTAATGCAATAATCCAGCAAGAGATCTTGGATCAAGGTTGAAGCAGTGGAGGTGATAAAATATAAACAGATGAAACATGCTTTGAAGTTAGAAGTCAACAGAACCTGCTGATGGCTACAAATTTGGAGGTTAAAGCTATTAGATAATATTTACTTAGAGCCATAGAATTAGATGAGCTCCCTTATAGGACTAAAACCTTGTGACATCCAAAAGTTAGACTGTCCATACTATCAAAACATGTTCTCTAAGCCAGGTGCAGTGGCACACACTCAGCAATTTGGGAGGCTGAGGCAGGAGGATCACGAGTTCAAAGCCAGCCTCAGCAAAAGTGAGGTGCTAAGCAACTCAGTGAGACCCTGTCTCTAAATAAAATACAAAATGGGGCTGGGAATGTGGCTTAGTGGTCAAGTGCCCCTGAGTTCAATCCCCTGTAATGCCCCCTACTAAAAGGCAAACAAACAAACCTCCAGGTTAGGTATGGGAGGAACCTATGGTCCCAACTCTCAGGAGGCTGAGGCAGAAGGATCACTAGCACCCAGGATTTAAAGGCCAGCTGGGCAACATAGGTAGACCTCTTCTCCTTAAAGGTTGGGCGTAGGGGTGGGGAAAAGAAAACTCCTTGTGGGAAGTCTTGTTTCTCCAACATAGAAAATTAACAATGAGTACTTAGAGTTGAATGGGAGAAAAAGTGGAAAGAGTCCCAGCAAACAACCTACAGGTATTTACCCCTGGATATAGAATTCAAAAGTCAGGTAGAAAAACAAATACCATCACAGACAACCTTTTTTTAGGGTATCTCAATAAAAATGGTGGGAAAAGCCCAAGTGGAATAATATTGTTCTTAAAAAACCCACAAATCTCAAGTGTAGGTTCTGAGGACGTGGGTCCGTGGGAAAGTAACCCCCTAAAACACAGCATTAAGCACAGAAAACTAATCATATTTAGAAATAGAGGATTAAGATAGCCGGTTAAAAAAAAAAAAAGAAAGAAGAAAAGAGAAAAGACCACAGCACAATAAGCCACAGATTAGCAGCCTTTAAAGTCTAACCTTGAACTTTTAAAAGCAGCCTCACAAAGCGTGAGACCTCAAAAAATTAGTCAATGACTCATAATTGTTCCTCTCCACGGAAATCTTTAGTAAAAGGCGAAAGATTTATACGATCTGAAGAGAAACCAGAGTATGGGGTACATGGCTCACTTCCAATCTCCCAGGGAGACACAACACTTAATTTACTTATGGTGATTCAGCGCCTGCTCTGCATCCGCTTTGTGGCTGCAGTTTATATATACGTAGATTTTCAACAGGCATCACGTCCTACAATTGTGGAGACGACCCCTCTGAGATGGAACCCAAGTATCACGAAGCTGTCTTCTCGTGGTGCACCATGGGTATGCAAATTAAGGCGTCTCTGGGACGGTCCAGGTACCAGCTGTGGGACCTGATAGGCCACTGGCGCCAGACGTGGAGCCCCGCTGGCCTCTGCTCTCACTCTCCGGCTTCCCTGTAGTCTGCCTGGGACTGCACTCTTCTGCCCGGATAGGTGCGGGCATTTCCCACGGGTTACAGCTTCTTGGTGCCGAATCCCTCACGGGAGGATGGGAATGGTAAATTGATAGTTCCAATTAG